GCACGGGTCTGCGCGCGGGGGGACAGTGCGGCGGCGGCGTCAGGGCCGAGCGCTGCCCGGCAGCGCCGAGCCCGCCCCGGCCCTCGCCCAGCACAGAACCCTTGGGATCGGGTCATCCATGACCTTCACGGTCATCAACTCCGTAACGTCCTCAACACCATCCCTGCTACATCCCCTGGGTGCCTCATCTACACGTTTGCTCTCCCACAGACAACCAAGGCCATGTCACCTCCCTGGGGTCTCCACAATGGCCAGCAGCAACACAAGAAGATCTCAGGTGGCCTCAGCAGCCTGCAGGTAGTAGGATACTGCCCGGCCAGGACATGGAGACCACGTGAAAGACAGGAGAGGAGGCAGGTCCTCGGGCAGTTATTGCCTGGACTGTACGATGGGGATGCTCAAGAGCTGCTTCTTCACTTGCACTCCCTCCACACCACCTCCCCTCGTGTCCCCTGTGTCCCAAAGCCCCACAGCACGGCAGGGCGCAGGTCCAAATGCCGCTCACTTTCTGCTGTCTCCTACCACAGCGAGGCAGGGTTCATAGCAGTAGGGATGCTCCAAGCCTCCTCTCCGCCCTAGAAACCTGGAGCTTTCCTTCTTCCACACCTCCCACCTCCATGCTTCTTGCCCTACTTCAGTCTGAGCACTGGGAGCTAAAGCTTTTGCCAGTCTGCAGCCTGCCCAAACACATCCCCACGTGCCTCCCTCCAGGGAGCAATCTGGCACGTGTCCTGGCTGATCTAACGGGCTTCCTAACAGAGTCGCTTTAATTACAAGGATCCACTCACTCTTAATTACAAGGATCCACCACCAGCATTAGGCAAAGCGAAAGCCATGCTTGCAGCATTTGCCCTGCTGGGATCTGTGCCCATCAAGCTCCTTTAATGAGGAGCAACTTGCAAGATCTGGGGCACGTTTGGGTGCACGTTGCTTTCCCCAGCTCTTGCCATTCCCAGCTCGCCTGCTTTTCCAGGGAAAAATATTTGAAAGCAACCTTCCCGCGGGGACGGCAACTTACCGCAGGCGCCATCGAACTTCTTGAAGACGTTCTCCTGCTTGTCGCAGGCATGCTTGTTGAGGTGGCACTCGCTGCGGTAGTCCCTGCCGTCGCTGCCGCACACGGTGCTCTCGGGGACGCCGCTGCAGGAGGACGGGCAGACGCACTTGGCCGACTGCCCATCCGCACCACGCACGCACGTGCTGCCGAAGCTGCACGTCACCTCCGCGCAGGGGTCCTTTGAGCCTGCGGGGACACCAGCGCCATCAGTGATCACGCTCTCCCTTTCCCACCTGCTCCATCTCCACCAGCATCTCCACCACCCTTCCTGGCAGTCAGAGAAGGAACCTTTCCTTCTCTGGAGATCTTCCAAACCCGCCTGGATGCCACCCTGTGCCACGTGCTCTAGGTGACCCTGCTTGAGCAGGAAGGCTGGACTAGATGATCTCTACAGGTCCCTTCCAACCTCAACCATCCTGTGATCTTCCCTCGCACAAGCTCCTGGAGCACCTCGCGCTCCAGCAAACACGCAGAGGGTCCTTAAAACACCTCCTGCAAAACGTGATGAGAGGAAGAGCTCAAGGAGCAATTTCCTTGCTGACAGAGAAGGGCCGGCATTTACTTGCCAGCTTCTTTTTGTCACTTTGTGATTATTATTTGCAATAAAGCACTCGGCGCTCTCTCCCCGGCAGCGCGCGCCGCAGCAGGAGCGCAGAGCACAGATTCAGCACGAGCCAGAGCTCGGCGGGAGGGAAAGGTCAAGTTAATTTACACGGAGATGGGGGCACCGGGGTCTCATTTACAGAGCTCCTCGCTCGCAGCCAGCGAATGCGAGCCTGCAGAATTGCTCCCATCCATCCTGCAGCGGGAGGAGATGCCCTCCAGCAAGATCCCTCTTGCCCAGGGTCCCGTGCCCACGGGCGGCCTCCCAAACCTCGCACTCACCGCAGGGCCCCTTGCTGATGACTTTGATCCGCCTCTGCTGGTTGCACTGGGCTTTCTCCAGCTCGCACTCGTTGCTGTAGGTGGAGTAATCGGAGCCGCAGACGGGAGCCACGACGGCCGGACACGCCGTCTTCTTGCAGACGCAGGCGGCGCGGGCGGGCTCGGCGGCGCTGCGCTCGCACACGGCGCCGAAGCCGCACAGCATCCCTCGGCACGCTGCGCCACAAGCACACGGACACGCGGCTCAGCCCGAAGCACGCACACAGCTCCTGGTCACCGGCCACAGGGCCCGCACGGGCCAGCTCGGCGCCCGGATTGCTAACGGGAGAGGAAATCTTGCGCCCGGATTGCTAAGGGGAAAGGAAATCTTATACACGTTGCAGAGGGTCGGGGCTTGCAAACCCGACTATCTGCAGGTGCAACCCACGACCCAAAGCTTGCTTGCAAGCAAGACTCTTTTTGCACTTATTGCACCACCCGACCTCCCGGGCTGCAGGGCAGCTCTGTGCACACCCTGTATGGAGAAACACAGACTGACCCACGCAGCGACAGGGAGAGCAATCGGAGAAGGCAGAAATCAAGTGCTCGGCACTGGCTCATTTACACTTCAATTCGCAGGCACTCGCCTTGGACAGCCCTGAGATTTCCAGCTCCTACACACAGCAACAATGCGCTGCTAAGAGACTAATATCAAATGAAGAAAAGAACTCGCTCTCTCCCCTGCTCAATATCTAAAAGCAAATTATCATCTTTATGAAGTGCTCTGGATCATCTCTCCCACTCTTCCCACTGCTTCGCTTTCCCTCTCGCTCTGCTTTTTTTTTTCCCCTTTTTTTAATGCAGATGAGTGCTGAGATTAGGAGGTGCAGGGGCCAATAGCAAGTGAATTAACGCGAAATGCAGAAGGGGGTTTGCAGCCATTGCAAGCACAGACGCCCCTTCCCAGTGCCACCAGCATGCTTGGGCATCTCTGCAAAGGGAACCTATGGGCGAGCCCTTGGGGTGACCCTCACCCTTGAGCCCCGGCTCACGCTGCTGCAAAGGGATGGGGAGAAATGCAAAATGCAGCAGGGAAAAGCAGCACAGACAAGGCAACAACTCCAGTTTGGCTGGAAGGATGGATATGTGCTTTGCACAGAGCCTGGCAGCACACACAGAAAGCATCTTCCCAAAGAAGGGTTCCCAACACGAGCAACCGACCTAGTTTGCTCACACTGAAATCAAAGGCATTTTTCGCAGAGCCCAGTTCAAGGCAGCGCCGAGCACATCAGAAGTCCCATCCAATGCACTTGCTGCTATTTTAGGGCCCGTTTCCTTTTGGCTCTACTCATGCATCACTGTCATCCTGCCTTCGCTCCCTGCTGTCTATATTTCTCTTTGCAGAGCCGATAACAGTCTGCAGGAACAAGCTGGCTAACCAGCCAGGCAAAAGCTCTACATATCAGACCCGACTTCCGAAGGAGCAAAGATTGAGGCATTACCAAGGATTTTGATGCTTCTTGAAGAAACTTTAAGAATTATTTCCTAAGACTCAAAATACTCTAGAATTCCAGGGGCAAGAGAGCAGTGGCTCTCCTGAAAGGCAGCGCTATTGCTTACCCTAACGAGACCCAGCAAATAAATTACAGAAGCGACTATGGAAACACTTCCCTGTCCTGTCAGTGGTGCCCAACTCACCAGCCAGTTCTCTACTTCAATATTCTCCATTTACAAATAAATAAATATATAAATAAAAAGAGTTGATAATAATCAATAGTCCCCGATATCAGTAGGTAAATAGCTGGATGGGAGCAAAAGGGAATTAATAATACGCAGGCGTTGTCAAGTGCTTGCAGATCTGGAGGTGAAGAGCTCTATCTAATAAGCCCCAAGCATTCGCACTCCATTTGTGATTATTGTTATTAAAGCGGAGAAACCCTTTAGGACTTTAATGGCAAAATTGCTCTTTTCCTGTGCACAGGAACATCTGGAGCAGCTTGCACACATCCAGCCCTTGGCACCAAGCATCCCAAACCACGGCATCGTCTTGGCACTGCCTAGATAGCCCTGGAGGAGGGGGAGATGCCTGGAAAACCCATGGAATAATCCCACCCATGTGTTCCCTTCCCCAGGCAGGTTTCTCAGCACAGACGGAGAAAAACAATCAGAAAAGGCCAGCGGGAAGCTTGATTAAAAGTCACGGTGGGGAGATGGGGCAGGGTTTTTTTTACTGTTCTCATGGCTTAAAGCAGCTCTGATGACAGCAAAGGGGTAGCAGAGAGGAAAGACTAACTGTGTGCAATATAAGTGCAGCCAAGGATTCCTGCAGCAAGGAATGCGGGCAGCAGAAGGGGAGGAAAAGGGGGATTTCGCCAGTAGGGCACACGGGTAGGTTAGGGCAAACCAAACCCCCAAACTGCTGGTAAATGAACCAAAACCATGAACATCATCACGTGGCCCCAAAGGTTCTTTCTGATGGGGGACAGGGAAGTGAGAAAGGCTCCGAATTCCTGGTGCAGGGCCAGGACATCCTCCTTTGAGCTCTTCTCCACGTCATGCACCACCCAAGGGATCCTGCAAGACACGGGGCTCATGCAGCTCAAGGGACAGCTCTGCCACCAGAAACACGCTGACTATACACTACGTGCAACGTCACCTCTGCTATAGGTGAGGACATTGAAGGATAATATTAATTTAAAGGGGCATTGGAGTGGCTGAGCCCGTGGCAACCACGCTGAGCAGGAAGAAGTTGCACCGGGTTAATTCTTCACCCTCGTTAATAGGAAGAACCTGACATTAAAGAACGAGGGTGCCCAGGCCAGATGTGCGAGAGCGCAGCTTTTAACACCAACGCTAACCGTTTAAAACCTTCTTTTCCTCTGGAAAGCAGCGGGGGCTCCTCTTCTTCAGCCCTTTAAAAGCAAATAAAGCACGGGGGCAGCAGTGGGAAAAAGCTGCCATCGCCTGATACATATTTCACCTCCCCAAAGCACGTTGGCAGCCACCAAGCTGAGCGCTCCCCACGGACCAGCGGGACATAACGTGTCCAAAGCAGGGGCTCCAGCCTGGTTTTTGGAGCAAGGAACGCACGAGCAAACCCACCCTGCTGCCGCCCGACATACGAGGAGCTTTTGGGGTGAAAAGCGGCGGAGAACAGGCGAGATGCAGCAGAGAAAGGCTCTGGAGGGCGGCACGCGGCGCCGGGGAGGATGGAGGAGGGGGACAGCAAAGGGCACCATTAATTGTGCATGAGCGCGAGGTGCACGTTGCCACGGCAACCAGCCCCGCCGTGCACGCGGGCTCCCCTCCTTGGACCACCCCCCCATCACCATCATCATCATCATCAATATTAATTAATCCCCGCTGCGACGCGGGAGAGCTCCTGGCCACACCAGGCATCCCGGGGAGCCACAGGGAAGGGAAGCAGCGGTTCCCCCTTGCCCATGGGAATAGCGCACACCTTTCATCTTCTTATTCCTGGCTGCAGAGGCGGAAATTTGCCCCAAAATGTGCTATTGCACAACCACCGTCTCCACAGCCACAAGAACTTAAGTCCCCAGAACACACACTGCTTTCCAGATGGCATCTTCCAAGGATGGGAGACAACAGGGAAAACAACAGGATCAAACATCCAGTTGGGAACCTCTGTGCTGCTCCCAGTTCTCTGAGCATCTCTCTTGGCACGCATCTCTTGCCACGCATCACAGGGATCTCCAGGAAAGCAGGTGTCTCCTCCTGGAGTAGCTCAGCCCGCTCAAGCCCTGCAAGCAGCAGGCCCTGCAACACACTGGGCAGACCAAGGAGGAGTGGGAAGAGCTGACTTCATGTTTCCATAATTAAATGAGGGGGAAAGGAGGGGAAAGAGAAGCGTTGAGCAGTTGGAAGATCTAAAAGCAAACGCGTGTGCAGGCGGTGAGCAAGGTGAGGGCAGAGCAGGGAGGAGTTTAAGGCATCTTGTTCTCTGGATAGGAAACATCAAAGTCACTCTTGCAAATCACGCATCTGAAAAGATGGATGGGAGGATCCTTATCAGACATGGGAGAAGGCTGGAAAACGCACCCTAGGGCAGAGGCGGACAAGAAGATGAGCTCAACAGCCCAGACCCTTCCCGAGATGCAGCAGAGACGGCGCGAGGGTTACAGCACACCCAAAAGCAGCATCCAAATGTCTAAGCTCATTTGCTGCCCTTTCCCAGGCACTCACGGCACCAGGCTCCGACAAGCCCTTCTGCAAGCTCTGCCTGCACTCTTCCAAAGGGAACACCTTAATATTCCTACCACCCATCTACCCCTTCTCCACACGCAAGCCCTATCACATGAACGGGTATAAATCGATCCCCAAGAGAAGGCTCAATGCTCACTATAAGGCGAGAAAAAAAATAAAAAGGGAAAGAACACTCTCAAGAGATCAACAGTGGTGCCTGATAACTGCAGCTCCCTTAAGCTCAGCTTTTTGAAGAGTTTTATTTAGCACCTCCTCGTGTAATTAAAAGGGAGCAGCTGGGCAAAGAAAGGACAAGGCTACCCAGGAGCCTGCAGTAAAGTGTAACCCTGCCCAAGCAGTGATTTTTTTGGCTGCACGATGTGTGACAGCATTGCCACCATGCCTTGTCACCCCGAGGGTTGCACAGCAAAGATGCACATGGGTTTCTTTAGCAACCAAGGAAAGGCGGCGAGTCCAGCTCTTTATAATGGGGAAAATGGGAAAAAATGCAATTCCAGGTTAATTGCAGACAGCAATCGCACAGTCCTCGGGAAGCAGGGAGGTAAAAAGAAAGCAGAAAGGAAAGCATCTCCTTCACGTGGTCCTATCTTTCCTTGAGAGATGTCCCCGACACACGGGAGGTCACAGCAGCCACCGGGGACTGCGAGGAGCATCAGCCGGGCTTAGCGTCAGCGCCGCTGTCTGACATTTATTGTGACGGGAGGGACACTGTGGGCTGAGGCCTTAAGTGAGATGGATTGGGGCGAGGAGGATCGCATTTCCCCACGGAGCTGCTGCAAGTCACTGCCTCCCGAAGAGCAAGTGCAGGCAGGAGGTTAGCAAGAGCAGCTGTGGGAAAAGGCAGGAAGCTGATAAATACATCTGTGTGCAGGAAAAAAAGAGTATTTCTAATGGAGACCAGCCCCTCCACGGAGCCTGGGGTCCGGATTCATTTTGCAGGACCCAAGAGAGGAAGAGGCTGGGGTCAGCGGCTGAAGCTCGTGGCTGTTCCAGTCCCACCACGCAGAAAGGGAACCGAATTGAAGAACTTGTGTTATTTTAAGCTCTATTTCAGGTCTTCCTTCCTAGTGCAACGGAGTGATTCCTCACTACCAGGGGCAGTTCCTCACCCAGCATCACGCGTGTCCTCTGCAGGGTCAGCTTTCCTGCACGAGAGACCTGCTCATCCCCATGGACACAGGTGCTCCGTGGGCAGCCGCGGCTGCCCCGCAAGGTTAAGCATCTTATGCGACTTCTAAGCCCTAGACAATTTATTTCCTCCCCCTTTACATCTGTGCCAACGTGCTGCGGCCGGCGGAAGCGGCTCATCAGAAGGATGGGACTTTAACTAAATGAGAAGCAAGAGCAAGAGCGCTGACTTGTCACCGACGGGTGCTCACAGCCAGGGCCCACAAGGATGGGAATCACCTCCCGTGCTGCCAGGTGGGGCTGCTCCCATCCCTGCTGCCCCCACGGCCCCTCTGTGCCCCGGCTTCACCTCTGCAGCAGGTAAGACTCAGTAGAGGGCAACAGCCAGGTCATGAGGTCCATGAAGCTCCTCAGCGACCAACACGGCTCACAGACCCAGCCCAGCCCTCCCCAGGACTTGGAAAGGTTGGAGTTTTCTGAAAAACGTCTCATCTCCCCCACCTGACTCCAATAAGAGATGCTGCAAACAAAGAGAAGGCAAACCGGGCATTGCATGGACTTCATGGATGTGTCCCCCCAAACCCTCCTCCCATCTCGCTTTCCGTGCAGGGAACCAAGAGGAGAATCCCGCTCTGCCTGCCCCTGCCAAGCCCAAATCCAGGGTGCTCCTGCCCTGAGGTCGGGGGGCTGCAGCAGAGCCAACATCCACCCACTCCCAAATTCCTTACAGACGCTCCAGAACTTGTCCAAAACACAGGAGGGCAAAGGAGAACTGACCAGCTAAGATGCTCGGACCATGTCCTCAACTGGGAAAATGATGGAGCCTTCACAAGAACAAAGCGCTTAAAACATCCAAGCCTTAAGATGTTCAACAGAGCTTAGCAAAGCCTGCCCCAGCTGCAGGAATGCCAGCGGCATCGGGAATTTGGGAAAGAATGGTAGGTTTACAGCATTAAATGGCCCTGTTTTGAAATGAAGCAGAGACCATGCCATAAATCTGTGGGTGAAGAGCTTGCTAGGCTAAAATGGGCATCTAACACGAAGGAAGATGAAAACAGCACACGGGTACTAACCAGGGACCTCTCCCTGCTGCCTCGGCAAGTTCTGCAGCTCCAGCATCACCCAAGTGCCTTCACACGCAGGACGGGGGCCTGGCAGAACAGATGCTGAAGGTGCGGAGAGCAGCTTCCTTCAAAAGGAAACGGAGCTTTGGCGTTTCCAGGGCAGAAGATGGCTTGTTTTCTGGCTTTGCATCACCATATGGAAAGTTCCTGCCCCAAAAAACTTCCCAAGGAAGTTCTGGGCTTTTTCAAGGGGAACTCGCACCATTTCAGGGGTGCAAAAGGAGGCCCGTGGTCTGGTGAGCCCCCAAGGGCGCTGCTTTTCGAGCTCCTCTCTGCGGGCACTAGAGATCTCCCAGAATATGTCATCTGCATGGGCTGGGCTGCTAATATTTTGGAGCCCTAAGCTAGAAAATACACCTACGTTTGCTTTTATTTTTGCATTAGATGCCTTCTCTGGTCCAATTTTAGATTAATCACATTTTATCTTGCATCCATTTCTCCCCCGCCTCCCTCCCCACCCCCATCAGAGAAAAAGAAAGAAAGAATCGTGTTATTAATTGGCTGCAGTTTTCTCCTAGGTTCTTATCTGAGCACAGGAAGGCAGGCAGGACATGAAGGAAGGTGACTGAACCGCCTGCCAGTGCAGAAAGGGGATTTTAAGCCTGACCTTCAGAAGAAACAAGGCTCCTAGGGTGACGTTATCTGAGCACGCGCTCCTGCACCCAACAGCTTTTCGGCTGCTGCTAATGTTCAGAGCAGTGTGGCCTCCAAAACAGAGTCCCTGCAACTCTACGAAACCCAAAGACCTTCGTGAAGCTCTGGTTTGGAGAAAAGGTGCATTGAGATCAGACATCGGGGAAGCCAAAGCTGGGAGAGATGCTGGCAATGCCCCAGGTCCAGGGAAAGGTGCAAATCCATAGGAAATGCCACCCTGCTATGGACTATGGAATAAAGCCTCCATAAATAATGCAGTTAATGGACTAAAAAGCCCATCTGCTGGGGATAAGAGCGCAAACGCACCCATCCAGGAGCTGCTCAGCCCATGCCCATTGCATGGGCATCACCCATCGCCTTCCAAGGATCTTCCCCTGCCCGGACTCAGTGCCACCCACCACGTGCCACCCTCCTGCATCCCTGCGGGGAGGCTTGGAAGCGATTTGCTTCCGAGTGCATCCCGAGCACAGGAAGCTCCAGCAAGCGGGAATTCGGGTACTCACCATCTCGCGGGGTTGGCGGCGTCTGGGTGAAATAACTATTGGGCTTGTCTGCAAAGAAACAAGAGAAGACACAGGTTTGAAGGCTCCTCTCCTGCTCCTCCTCCCCGACACCCACTGCTCCCTCGTGGCTTTGGGGACATCAGCTCAGCGTGTCCCCTATCCGAGCAGGAAGCATCCTGACACCAGTGTCACATTTTGCCCTCCCTGTCCCCCACCAACTACTAAGTGAAGCTGCAGTAGATGACAAACCTTCTTACCAGCCAGTCTTTCCCTTCCACTGCAGTGCCCTACCCCAGCACTGCTTTTTAAATGCATTCCTTTGTTTCTTTAACCGGTTTTATGGAGTTTTTTGCGGCACACAGCCCCCTTATGCCTCCCAAACACTTTTCTCACTGCAGGCACCTGGCATCTCCTGGCCCAGGAGCCCAAGGATAGCCCTGCATGACGGAGCCCGGCTCCACAGCATGCCTGAAAAAGCTGCTCCGTGGGAGCACGACCACCTGAGCAAGGAGTGGCAGCACACGGATAAACCCACTCCCACGCGTGCCATCTGCTCGGGCGCGCTGCAAAGCGGATCAGCAGGGTTTGCCTGCGATAAAGCAGCAGCAGGAGCCTGGGAGAGAGGAGAGCTCCCGGCAGAGGAGAGCAGGTTTCTCCTGGTCCCACCAGGAGCATCTCCCGCGCTCAGACCTGGAGCGGCCGGAGGGAAGAGGCTGAGCATCCCAGCCGGGATGCAGGAGCCCGCGGGGAGCCGGGACGCGCTGCCCGGCTCCATGCCCTTGCTCTCCGTGTCCCGCGGCCAGGGCAAACCTACAGTTATTGAGGAAGAGGAGCACGGCAAAGCCCAGCGTGGAGGTGGCCAGCAGGATGAGGCAGATGTTGCAGGGGATCATGAAGTAGCGCACCACCAAGGACACCTTGTGCTGGTAGAGCCGGTCCCGCTCCAGGGCGCCCGGTGCCATGGGGTACTGGCAAGCGGTCATGCTTGGCCGGCACGCCGCGGGATCCACGTGGATGCTCCCGCTCCGCTCTCTCTTTGGCAGCCACCGGAGCTACGTTTTTCCCGAGGTTCCCATGCTCCGCTAGCAGCGCTGGCCGGAGGGGCTGTCAGGAGCCAGAGTTTGTGGCCACATGTGCCACCTCAGAGCCCCAGCACGGGCATCCGGGCTGCTCCAGAGAGGCAGCACCGGCTCCTTTCGCAGCCGGGGATGTGCAGAGCCCCAGCTGCCAACAAGCTGAATAATTCCAAGGAAAAGTGCAGGGAACTCGAGCGTAGCCTGGCTGAGGACGAGTCCCTGGAGTGGGGAGCGCAGGGTCGGATGCTCCAGGAACTATCCAGGTGGAGAAGGCGCTGGATGGCTGGTGCCCTCCGGCGAGCCGGGGCGATGCTCACATTCCCAGCCTGCCTCCTCCTCCTCTTCCTCGAGCTGTGCCGGTGGGGAGGAAGCGCCAGGAGCGGCGCGGTGGCCGGGCCGGGCAAGCTGCCCTCCTCACGCCGCTCGGACATGCCAGTCCTTGCGAGGTAGATGCCGGCTCCTCGCCCAGGCCGGCATGGGGGCAGCGCCCGCGGGATGCTCGGAGACGCGGCTCCCACGCCGGGATTCTCCCGGGCGCGGTGGAAGGGTTGCGCAGCGCCGAACAATGAAGGAATAATAATAATAAAAAAAAAAACCCACAGCCAGAGCAATCGTGTCACCTGGTGCCACCGCGATGCTCCACCTGCTCCACGCTCCCCATGGAGCCCCCGGCACTCCACAGGCAGCGGTGGCCTCGGCCACGGGGCGCGCACGGTCCTCGCGTCCCCAACCCGGCACGGGCAGCCGGTCGGTCCCAGGGAGCAGCGACGATCCCTCACGCGCGGTCCCGGCGCCAACAAAGGAGGCGAGACGGGAAGAAGGGAAGGAGAAGAGGCGGCAGCGGAGGAGGTGCCGGCAGCCGCGGCCACCAGGATCCGGCACCGGGCGGGACGCGGCGCCGTCCCCGGCTCAGACAAAGGGGCTCTGCATCCCACTCCGCCCTGGCTCCTGCGGGGACCCCCCGCGGGCAGGAGCACAAAGGGGCAGGGGGGGACGGGCGGTGCGCGCGCGCGGCTCCCGTCGCCCCCCGGCCGCTCCGGAGCCGCGGACACCTGTGCGCATCCTGCTCGGCCGGAGCTGGGGCGGGGGCTGCTGGGATAATCCGCTCGCTTCCTCCCTCACGTTCCCAGGGAAAGCGCAGGGAAGGAGGGAGAAAAAAAAAATCCCTCTCCCCTCCTCCTCCTCTTTGCCTTTTCATTCGTGAGCTGAAGATATCGGGAGAGGCGGGGACTGCGCTGTCAAAACGCGTTACGCCTCCCGCTAAGCATCTCAGCCAAGCGCCTGGGCAGCGCGGCTGCCCCGCGCCCCCTGCCCTGCCCTGCAAGGGGCTCCCGGGGCTCTTCTGCCCCTCTTCCTCCTGGAATGCTGTCCCGGAGAGCACCTGGAACAGCAGCAGCGCATGCCTCCCACGCGCCCTGTTACCCAAGAACCTACAGACATCGCAGCAGAGCTGGAGAAACAGCACCCAAAAGGGCCTGGACGCAGGAGAAACAGAGACCCCCGCTCCATCCCAACCGGGCATCCTGGTGGCCTCAGGTCCGAGCAGAGCACGGAAGGGTCCCCAAACACATCCCACGCCTACAGAGAGGTCCTGCAGAACGGATGCACCAGGGAAAGCCCGTGGTGCGGACACAGGGAAACCAACCCCACGGGAGGAACTCGCTGTAAATTCCTCCTGCCTCTCGCTGGGGGGGTTTGCAGCAGGTCGCCAGGCCCAGCAGCAGCAGGTCCTTAGCAGGACACGTCCTGCACTGCAGGTTCCTCGCATCACAACCTCCCCTCCAGCTCCACCACCGAGATCACCGTCCCTCTCTGCCGGACACCCCGGCCGGGCTACGTCCTGAGCATCCCAGAGACGCGGCTCGCCAAGAGCATCCCAGGGAAAAACAGAGAGGGAAGGAAAGGAATCCAAGGTGCATCCCTGCTCCAATGAGCCCTGCACGGAGGTGGCTCCCTGAGCACAGGGATGAGGGGAGCAAGAGACAACCAGTCACCACATCCCACGTGGCGGAGGAAGGGATGGGGGTCACCAGATCCCATTACCACCCTGGGATGCAGCTGCTGTTCTTTTGCTTTTTCCTTTGGAGGAAGACAGTATTTTTGAGCACGTTCACATGCCACCAAGCTGATCTTCCCAAATGAAAGTTTAAGGCGTTAGGGCCTCCACGTGGTCAACGAGCACTTCCAGTCAGGTGCTGCTAACGGGTTTGGTCCTCGCCTGCCAGGAAACCACCGAAAAGGCTGAAATCCAGAAATATTCCTGGAGTTGATTGACAGCTGTCAATCTCCCCTCCTCACAGAACCCCCCTGCCCTTGCCCGGCTGCCTCCCACCTGCCTCCCAGCTCTAATCCCGTTAGCAAGGAGCTAATTGGGATTTATCTGACAGCACCCAGTGCCTGCAGAGCCATTTTGCAACTGCCTCCCAGGGGAGGAGGAGGAGGAGGGAGCGGAGAAGGCTCTAACAGGCTCTTCCCCATCCTCTCCTGCAGTTTTACGGGCTAATTACCAGCAGCAGCAAAAGGAGAGGGAGAAAGCAGGGATTTTAATTATTTCATTTACCAGTTGGCAGGACCCAGCTCAGCTCCTGCTGGGAAGCGCCTTGGAAATAAAGGGATTTTCAGCCCTCCTCAGAGCACATAGGGGAGAGGCAGGAAAACGCGAGCAGGACCGGGAGGGAAGCGCGTCGCTAATTTGCGCCATTCCTCATTAGCAGGCCCGCTGCTAATTTGCAGCGTTCCTCGTGAAGGAAGGTGGTGCAGGAGGAGGATGCGCAGGGTCCGCGTCCCGCGCGGTCCCGCACTGCCACCTGCCGCTGCGGCGAGCGCCGTGCCGCCAAAGCCGGGACACCGGGAACGCCGGGCGGGATCACGGCACCACGGGAAGGTGCTGGGGAAAGAGCAGCCTCTCCCATGCTGGGGAATAAGAGAAGCTCTCAAAAACCCACTGTTGTGCAGCCTGCCCGAGGTCCTGCTTGAGCTCCTTGCAGGCGCCTGGGCCGGCAGGGGATGCTCTCGGCTCACGGAGCTCCGAGCCCGGCATTCCGGTAGGAAAAGGCAGGATTCAATACAGCCTCTAGCCCCCTCCGCTGCTTTCCATAGCGGAGGCACACTTCCAAGCAAGCCCTTGGTCTCCCCAGCTGCACAAAGAGGGCTTTATGCTATATATTATATATGTTATGTATAGGTACGTAGCAGCTACACCACACTCCCTCCCAGCACTGCTCTCCTAAGCCAGGACACACACAGAGCTGGTCCTAACGAGCAGGACACGCTGTCGAGGTGACGTTGCCTCTGCCCTTTACCTAGTGCCAATGATTCACCCTCAACAAGAAGTGACAGCAGCCAACACCATGAGACTCCAGAGGCAGGGAGCCGGTTTTCCATCCGGTACGATTCCACATTTCCCCCCCAACCTCCCGGGGGGCTGGTGAAGACAAGAGGCTGAGGATGGAGTCGGGGATGAGACAAGCACTAGGTGACGGATGTCCTTAGATCACAGCTTTGCACCCACGAGACTCGGGACCGCAGCACCCATCACTTGATTTTTGATCCAATTAATTGAACCCGGGTCAAAACCTCAGGTCGGGGCAAGGCGGAGGGGAGAGCGGCTCCCAAACTGTGATCTAAGAGCAGTAGCCCCCTCGGAGGTGTGCGCGGCTCTGCAGCTCAGCCGAGCCCGGACCCACTTCCAGAAGGTTTCTATTGCTCCCGTACATTCGAGGTGGATGGAGAATGACTGGAACTAGCCAGCGAGTTTGATGGTGGATGGAAAAAATAAATAAAAGTAAAATGATAATTTTGCATGACACGCCACCACTTACCAGCAAGAAGCTTCCTATGTTCTTTAGAAAGCAAGGGGAAGGGAGGAGAAAAAGCAAAGAACAAAACGGTTAGAACAGCAAAGCAGAGCCAGGCCGAGCTTTCCTCTCCCGCCCGAGCTCCCTCCGCAGCAGTTTAGCACCAAAACCATCC